AAGTTTCTGGTTTTATCTCTTTGTTGGCTTTCTATTTCCAGAACCAGATATTGGTGGCTTCAGTATCTCTCTCAAGACCCCAGAACTCCAAGTGCTCCACATGGTTTGAGAGAAAAGAGCTGCTGGAGCCTGTTCATTAAGCCAACATGTTCAAAACAAAGGAAAGGTCAGGGGATGAAGAACACTCATTAGCCAGTCCATCTTGTTCCTGAGGCGACCATGGGTTCAAGAAAGGCACCTCACTTCCAACAGACCTGCCTTCTTTGTTTGTATGTTTTGCTTCTTTGTTTGTTTGTTTATTTGTTTGTTTGTTTTACTTATAGCATCTATGAAGGCAAAGACCTCATCTGGGTCATTCACTAAACTCATTGTATTGCCTGGTTCATAGAAGGAGCCAGGTATGCGGTGCTGAAAAAGAATATAACAAGCAGACTGGAGAGTTGGTTCAGGAGTTAAGAGCACTTGGCACTCTGCAGAGGACTCCAGCATTCACATGGAGACTCACAACCACCTGTAACTCTAGTTCCAGAAGACTCAGTGCTCTCTTCTGGCCTCCTTGGGTACCAGAAATGCACCTAGTACACAAATATACATTAGGCAAAACATGTATACACATAAAACAAAAAAAAAAATTTTAGATACCCCCAACCCCTCTTGGGACCTCTGTCATGTCATCTCTGAGATGATGGATTTAGACTATAATGACCTTCTGGATTTATACATTCTGAAAGAAGGAAATGAGGGAGGAAAGGAAGAGAAGCCTTCAGAAGGTGACAAGGTATCCAGGGTACAGGCCCCAAGCTAGAATCCTACTGATTCTATAGGAGAAGGGAAAACCATAAGATAAATCTGCAACACCTGTCTCTGGCCCTGGGATGCTTTGTCATCTCAGGACTCTGCCACTGAGAAAGCCATCACCGGATGCTACCCCTTAATTTTGTGTTTCCAGGACTGTAAAGCACAATGTCCTCCTCTCTTTATAAGCTTACCTATCTGTAGATTCAACACCCTCCTCTTACCTCTTCTGGCACCAGGCAAAGATGTGCTGTAGACAGATAGGTACACACACAGACACACAGACACACAGGCAAATAGAAAGACACATAAAAAATAGAATAAATACATCTTTTTTTTTAAATAAAGATTTGATCAAATTACATTTCTGCGTTGCTCATCACTGTGCTTGCTACTTGGTGTGTAGGCAAGGAACGTCACTTCCCCTTCCTTCCGGGGAAATGCATCATGAACCACCAAGAAATTAAAAACTGCCAATAAAACACCGAGCCACGCCAAGAAATACTAGGCATAATCGATTTCAAGGATATTAAATGCCACAGGGGTGGGTGCAAAGGAGTCTAAGACTAGAAGAGGCAACTCTTGGGAGGCTGTGAGGTGTTAGCAGCGTGCAGAACCAGAATCCTGCGGGGCTCAACTTCCTTCTCCAGGCGACACGTGGTGCTCTGACTTACACCATAATTAACATGCTTTTTCAGCCCAAGAAGAAGGTAAGGTTGAAGGTTCCATTTAACTCTGAAGGTCTGGTTTACTAGCTGGAAAATCAGCCTACTGTAAGTCTATGTGAGTAGCCAGGCTGGCTGGGCCAGCCAGGGCATTCTGAGTAGCCATCTTACTCCACAGGGACTAAGAGGACTGCTCTGTCACCTCAAAAGACATCCTGAGTGGTTGGGAGCATCCGAGCTCCAATGTGGCTCCCCTGCAGTTCGCCCAGAATACACACACTCTGCCCAAGGGTCAAATTAATTACTGCTGGGCCTCCTGTGAGTGATTTAAAAGCCACAAATAAAATTACACGTTTTAAGGAACTAACAGAATCAATCACTTCCGACAAACAGGCACAAGCCAGGTCAGTCTTGGACATTACAAAGTTGTAGCTTGCTTTCCCCTCTCTTATTTGTGAGGAAGGGAATTTCTGGGCTCTTTCAGAAGGAATTAATTTTATTGGAAAGCCAATTCTTCTTCTGACAACACTAGATATTTGTGGGACAGCTCCTAGGGTTATTGACTCAAAGAGATAACATTTGTCCTAGATGATGGTGTCGTTGCTATGGTAACCTCTTTTAACAAGACTAAAAATAATGAAGCCTGTGTCTGACTTTGCTAGGACAAGTCAAGCCTTTCTCCAGAATCATCTGAAAGAAGTGTCTATTGACTGCCACAGATTTATTTTGAATTAAGAGGCACGTCATTTAGAGGCTGAAGTGAATTGTTTTTATTTCTGCCCGACTCCGCCACTTCTGGATACCGGGGCCCTGCAGGGCACGGCAGGCACATGTCTATCCAAGAAGAACAGTGGGGAGTTTAATGAGTCACAAAGAAGTGTTCTTTATTGCAAGTGCTTTCTCTATTCTCCTTGGAACCTGTCCACAAGGCTCCTGGGTCCCCAAGCCCTTTTTCTGTAATTCCACAAGCAGTCTCACAGACAATGGCAGGATTGTTGGAGGCAATAGAACTCTAGTTGGTAAATATTGACTGCGTTCAGAAAAGACTCCTGGTCTTGGTTCCATAGTCTTCAAGGAGGTGCCTGTGTGTGGAGAAGAAAAGAGGAGAGCCTGTCTACCCTCTATGGCACTCGTTACATCACCTCACAGGTCTGAATCCAGCACCTACTGTGTGCCAGGCACTTTCTCCCTTTCTCTTTCCTTCTTTTCTTCCATATTTTATTGAGCACCTCCCTGAGTGTTACAGTTGCAATGGGTACATGTGGCGTAGTTACAAATAAAGCTGGGAACCTGGTGATGTACACTTGTTCCTTGGGATTCAAACACTCCCTCCTGAAGGAAGCAGCGAGGCTCCCAGGTTCATGAAACTCATCTTTACAGGCTCGGGAGACCCACAAAGTATATGTCTTAGTTAGGGGTTTTATTCCTATGACAGAAACACCATGACCAAAAAGCAAGTTGAGAGGAAAGGGTTTATTTGGCTTCCACTTCCACATTGCTGTTCATCGCTGAAGGAAGGCCGGACAGGAACTCAAGCAGGGCTGAAACCTGGAGGCAGGAGCTGATGCAGAGGCCATGGAGGGTGCTGCTTACTGGCTTGCTCCCATGGCTTGCTCAGTCTGCTTCCTTATAGAACCCAGGACCACCAGCCCAGGGATGGGACCACTCAAAATTAGTCAGGCCCTCCCCCAGGCAACAGAATCCATGTCAGAGACAGCCCCGCCCCGCTCCCCTTATTAGGCAATCCACATGAAGACTGAGCTGCCCATCAACTACATCTGTAGAGGGGCCTGGGTCCAGTCCTTGGTCGGTGCTTTTGTCTCCCCAAGGTCCCCTGGGTCCCGGTTAGTTGGCACTGTTGGCCTTGTGGCGCTTCTGTCCCCTCCGGGTCCTTCTATCCCCCAACTCCCACACTCTTCCCACAAGTCTCCCTGCTCTCCGCCCAAGGTTTGGCTGTGGGTCTCAGCATCTGTGTTGACCGGCTGCTGGGTGGAGCCTCAGAGGGCAGCCATTCTAGTCTCCTATCTGCGAGCGTAGCGGAGTATTGTTAATAGTGACTCTTGACCTTGTTTATAGTAATTTGTTGGGAGATTTTTTATATTAAGAACCTAGTCACCTGGATCCTGACATATAATCTAACCCTCTCTAGCCTCTATAGCCATTTCCACATTTCTATATATGTGCATACAAACACATAGACACATACAATGTACATGAATAGAACTAAAACTTAAAAAAAAAAAAAAAAAAGAAAGAAAAAGAACAAGATGCTTCAGGGAAGAGGAGCCTATTCTCTCCAGGGAAAGGAAACTACATGTAAATGAGGGTTTCTTTCCTGTCCAGGATGTTTCCTCAGTGAGTACAACACTACGCAGTGACAATTACTTAAATTAATTACTGGATCCATCTGTTGAATGAATCACTAACGACATGGCAGAGAGTGCAGTGAGTTTCTGGTTCCTCGCAGCTTGGAACAGTTCGGGGAAGACTCCAGATGAGGATGGGAGCAACCAGCAGGATGGAGGCCTGGCGCTGGGGAGACCCTGAGGAACACAGTGAGGGGCCGAGCTGGGCTATCGGGGAAAGATGGCTCCACCTCCAGCTTCAGCTGATGAAGGACACTCAGGACACACCCCCATGAGGCTGAGACAGTGACAGAGACAGCACATGGGCATGTTGGGATGTCTAGCCGCCATGCTGTGGAGGTGAGATGAAAAAGAGATATCCATTTCAGTAACTGACCCAGTTACTGAAGTACCAGAAATAAAACTGAACTTCTTTAACCCAACATGCTACGTTTCAATATACATTCTTTGTCAAGTCATGTATGTTCTGGGGAGGGAGGGTTGTTGATTTGTTTTTTTTTAAGGCTAAGTGTCTGGGACCTATAGTTCATAGAACATCACATTCAAACTCACCATAACAAAAGGACTCAGAGGTACCTGGGGGG